CTGGGAAACTTCTGACATCACTTTAGGCAACTGCCATCGACGTGGGAGCTTTTGGACTTTCCCACTGCACAGTAGATGCCTCTTTCCATGTCTGGACAAGGGTCTCTGAGTCCAAGAGCATCGTCTGGCACAGAATAGGTGTTCTCAGGAGGAAAAGGAATAGTTAAGACTCTAAGTGATTTCTTTTGTCCCATTTGTACAGGAATGTAAAATATGGAGCTAATAAACTTTGTGATGCTGGGGCTTTTCAAGTCTTCAGGGCAAAATAGTTTTTTGGATGGAGCCTGCTCTGCCTTAGAAACAGTACAGATCGGTAGGCTTAAGCTGTTGGGTAATAAATTAAAAGGAACACTTTACTAGCATATTAGCTCTCCTTTAGAAGAGACAAATTAATGTTGGAAGGAGAAAAGGGCTGTTTATCAGTGATAACTCTTTCTGCAAATGTTTTGGCTGCTTTGCCATCCTGTTTAGCCCTAATTTCTGGGTGTCAGTAGGTATGATGGGGTCACCAGAAGATGTGAGGTAACATGTGATTCTAGTCACAGGCTCTCTCACTACTGGTGAAAAGAAAATGAAATGGCTTCATGGTCATGAGGATTGGCATGTAGTTCCAGAAGTGGCTCTGTGAAGCTTTCTGCAGAGGACAAGCAAGAGTGCTGGCAAGAAATCCTTCTTATTTTTAAATCCCATGCTCTGGTTGCCCATGTTTACATTACTGCTATTGCTGTTGATGCAATGCCAGTTACTCATACAATTTGCCCTGTAAGGTAATATAAATCAAATTAAATTGGCACCAAACTTTAAACTTTAAAATAGAACGTATTGATTTGTTCTGTCTGAGAAGTGCTCTGTTGCTGGAAGGAAGAGCAGACCTGGACCCAGGGAGGAGGAGGCATGCTTGTGTGGGGTGGAATGGAAACCCAGGTTCTCCAGGGCACGCTTGGTGTGTGAACTCTGCAGCTCAGACATGTACCACTGTTCTTTCTATGCTGAACTTAGCCGGCAAGTGAAGAACAAGTTTCTAGGACCTTTGTCAGGGAATGCAGTTATTCTTGGGTGGGTTTAGGATACCCAGAACCTGCAGATTTCTGTTGCTGTCTGTTCCTAATTCCGCCTTGTTGCTTGTACAATCCTTTCTCATAAGGAGTTCTTGCACTAATTTACTCCAGTTGTTGCTTAGTTTGAAAGGCTGAGAGACTTGGAAGATGCACGCTGTCCCCTAGATGGCTGGATCTGCCCCCTTTCTCCCACTGGGAGGTGGTTAATGTTTTAAGAAGCAGTGAAAGGCATCCCTGGAGCCAACATAACTGGATTTCTTCCTGCCTAAAGAATGCAGAACATTCTTTTCCAGCCAAAGGGAAATTGTGCCACACGTTTGAAACAAAACAAGCAAACACGAAACAACCCAAAACTTTATTTTCTTTTTCTGAGAAATGCTGGGGCTTTAGAAACTCAAAGCTACAGATTTGGCATATGGCAGCCATGAATAGTGTATTTCACAGTCACCAAGCAGGTTTTAAAAAGGAGGGCGGTCAGGAGACAGAGGCATGTATAAAGCAGCCGTGTCATTGCTTATCTCCATAAAGTCACTTGGTCTTCCTTTTTAAAACTGGAAACTGAGCGAATTAGGAGTGGAGAGATTAGACATGAGTGAAGAAGAAAAAAACCTAAGTGGGGATACTGGTTCGTTAGTGGTTGTTAACTGTTCTGGACACTGTGTGAGAGGTGTTGAAACCATTTTTAAATGAACTGAATGAAGGAATGGAAAAGGAGGCTTGGTTCTATAATCTAGGGTTAAAAGATGATGCAAGTACAGGATAAAATACGGGTTGGATAAACTGTCAGTGTCAGTCATGAAGAGTAGTATGAACTCCCTTTTTCTTTCATAAAATCTCTTGCCGTGCATAAAGTTCCAGGCCTGTTTTGACTTGCTTTGTTTCAATGTTGCAAAAGCTGGCAATAGCACCTGCAGTTCCCTGAATCTGGGGCAGATAGTGATGTGGATGAAATGTAAGCTCTGATAGTCCCAAAGAAGGCAAAGCCTGGGCTGAGCTGACTTTACACTTACTGTCTTACATGTAGACATGACTCGTAGCGAGTTGCAAAAAGCTTTGCCCAATAAGTTTGCAGCCTACAAGAAAATACTGAAGCAATTTGAGGAGCCTAACATGAACAACTTAAAATTCCTGTCAATTAAACTTTTGAATTGGGTTCCTTTTTTGTGGGTTTAACCATGAGAAACGGTCTTAAAGGCAGACTTCGTTGCAGGGAAATCCTCCGCTGCAGTTGTGGGCAAGCTGGCCCATTCTGTGGTGCTCTTCCTGCTGGTTTCCAAGTCTTATGTCTAGAAAATGTTAATGGCCTAGCTGTGCAGCCAGTAGACTGAGCAATTTGAAGCAGTAATGAGCCATTAGTCTGAGTCAGTAATTAGACTGAGCAGTAAAGGGGAATGCTCTCCTCAGGCAAACCCAAGTGGAGGACTACTTGTGCTGATGTAAATAAATGGAACCGTTTGTACAGGGAGACCTGGAAGCTTTGTCTGCTGGTGGTACGAAGTCAGGTGCAGCTGGCACTAATTCACCTGCTGTCCCCTCCTAGGGAGGTGAGCACGCTGCTGCCACAGTGGTTAGTACGTCTCGGAAGACAGACAACATCTTGACAAAAATGTCAAGTTGAAATGTGACCAAAACCTGAGACTGGAACTTTGGTCTTTCCCTTTTCCAGTTCTTTCTGGATTCAACCAGGTACTGATCAAATCTGAAGCTGTGCTATTACACAAATCAAACTTGAAGGGCCTGGTTATTCCTGCCTCTCCAACCTCATAAATACTGAGGAAATGCTTTGTGCTGTCTTTAGCAGTTTGTGGCAGATACAGAGAAGATAGAGAAATACTGTACAG